GGACAAATACGAGCAATTTTAGTAAGTCAAAACTGGAACAAAGAGCTGATAGTACTAAAGTTGAAGGTAACAGAACAATATAAGGGATATGATACCATAACCGAAAACCAGAAAAACACAGAAGAACATTCGGTACCTGTTAACTTTTCTTACAGATGCCGAAGTCCTCTGTCTTTTCTCCACACAAAATGTGTTTCGTCGGAGGACATAATTTCCCTGTGACCTCATCTATCAAGTCCATATAACTGCATAGTCAGTGCAATTACAAACCTTTCAATCCAAAAAAATTGAAGTCAGGAATGAGTTATTAAATAGGTTCACATACCTTATAAAATCAAGTTACAACTTCTACGAACTTCTCTCGTAACATCACATGAACCAAGAAGCTCACATATTGCAGCAGAGCACAATAATCATCCTGAATTGGTTTCTCGTACACTTAACCACACATGAACCAAGAAGTTCATATATTGCAGCAGAGCACAATAATCATCCTGAATTGGTGTCTTGTACACTTAGCCACAATTAGAGTCAGTATCTAACCCACACTTAATCATCAAAGAGGCCAACTGGAACACAGAATTATGATCACGGAAACTGTTAAGCATAACAAAACAAATCTGTGAATCAACAGATATGCCATGAAACAACATCATACGCAGAAAAATATCTACGCCAGCTAGTAAGTTTCTTTTGCACAACCTATTAATCACAGCACTATAATCTCTAATAGAGATTTCAAAGCCCTTCTCAATCATCTTTTGGAACAGAACCACTGCCTTATGCACTGATCCTTTTGCACAATGTGCTTTTATTAGAATGGTGTAATCACATTTCATCAGGCAAACATCTTGGAGTTTAGAAAATAGTTCCTCCGCATCCTTTAGCTCTCCATGTGTACAATAACCATTAAGGAGAATGTTGTACGTGACACGACTTGGCTGAAGTTCGTGCACCGCCATCTCTTTATATAATTTGCAAGCGCCTTCCATATCGCGAGCTTCACATAAACTTTTAATAATGGTGTTGTAAAAAACTTCATCACGCTGAAAATCATCCGGTAACATAGTCTTTAGTATCTGGACAGACTCATGAATCTGCCTTCTTTTACAGAGGCATTTCATTATCACTGTGTAAGTAACATGAGTTGGTTCTATGCACCTTGCTTTCATTTCGTCTAGCAATTCAAAAACGGTTTGCATTTTCCCTTCTTCACCATAGGCATTCATAAGAGTTGTGTACGTCCTCGCTGATGGTATCAACCCATGTGCACATATAGTGTCAACCCACTTTCTTGCATCATCTAACTTTCTGGCTTTGCAGAACCCATATATTAAGGAATTGAATGTAGCTATGCTTGGGGTTATTCCTTTCCCTGTTATTAGTTCGTATACCTGAACAGCCTCACCGATGTCACCAAGTTTTGCATATCCGTCAATCATAATATTAACCAAAAAAATATCATCTATTAAGTCGGAATATATTAAAGCGTCAAACAGAACTCTTGCCTCATATATGTACCCTTTCTCACAGAAGCTTTTGAGAATAGATCTATGAGCAACAATATTTGGAATAATTCTCTTACAACACATATCTTTGTACAATTGAAAAGCCATATCAACCACTCCTTGCTTACAAAGGCCTTGAATGAGAATCGAGTACATGATATGATCCAGTTTACGACCGCTGCTCTCTATCTCATGGAACAAATTCAAAGCTTCATCTAAATGTCCGCTTTTACACAAACTGCTTAGTAACATGTTGTTTGAGATAGCACTAGCATGGACCCCCTCCTTTGAAAACATCTCCTCTCTCAACTTAATACTGTTCTCATCAATATTACCTTCTTTGCAATATCCACAATTCAACATTGTATATGTGAAAATATCAGGATTCATGCCTTTACGAAGCATTTCATTAATGAACTTCCGGACACCATTCATCATACCAAGCAAATGAAATCCTTTGGCAAGGACGTTATAAGTTTCCAAATCAGGCTCTAAACCATGTTTCTTCATATCATCTATGAACTCCAATGCTTCTTCCATTGCACCCGCCACACTTAATCCGTGAATGAGAATATTGTAACTATATACATTGGGATAAAATCCACACTTAAACATCATACAAAAGAATGACTTAGCAACATCTACAGAACCCATTTTACATGAACTCAACATAAGAGCATTGAAAGACACAACACAAGGCTCAGACTCTCTACATTCAGTCCCTCGGACAAAATTAACTGCTTTTTGAATCAAGAATTGTTTGCACAGACCATCTATAAGAATGGAGTTAGTATACTCGCTCGGGTTTATCCCACTGGCTTTCATGTCATAGTAAACATCCCAGATGTAATCAGTGTGCCTCAAATTATACAACAAATTATTGTATGTAAATACCGAAGCCTGGATATCGAAATCTTTCATCTTTGCAAAAACAAAGAGAGCATCATCAACCATCTGACAATGGGAATAAGCAGAAGCCAGCACATCCCAGACAACATGATTAGAGTCCCATTTCTGAAAGCGAATCAAAAGCAGCTCGCATATCGAATGAGCTGAACCAAAGCCTGATTGGAAATCACAACAAATCTATATAAACAACAAAATGAGCAATGTAAGAAGTACTCCATAGTTACACTATACTATTACTCCCTCCATCCCATATTACTTGCACTAGAATTAGTAAAACTATCATTCTCATTTACGATATCTTAAGGGGCGTGTAAAGGGAAAGTGGACAAGTAATACGAGTCGGAGGGAGTGACAAAATAGAATTTTTAATGCCATAGCAGAGAACACAATACCTTCTTGTTGAACCAAATGTTGTAAATGAATCTTCAAAGCTCTAAACCTCTGTTTTTTAGCCAAAACATGAGCAACAGCAATGTGTGAAGCTCTGGAATGATTAAACCCATAATCATTTCTCAATAAGAAGAAGAACTCAAGGGCAGATTCGGAATTTTCAAAACTCAGTTTCTCGACAATGTCTTCTATTTCCGATGAATTCAGCTCAAAGATTACAATTTTAAAACACGGGTCACCTCGTAAAATCTTTGCGGAGCCTTTAGTGCAATGATTTTGGAGAAAAAAGTTGAAGATTCTTGAAACTGCAGCTCTGGTGGTTGTGGTAGTTGGTGGTGGTGGTTCAGGGTGGTCGACGGCGAGGTTAGCGGTGGAGAAAGAGGGTTTAGGGTGGCGGAGAGAGGAGAGTAATCGAGATTTTAGGGGTGATTTAAGGGTTAATCGAAGCATTAGGAGGAGGAGAAGAAAAAAATGGGAGATTTTTACAGAGGTTTAGGGTTTAAGAGAGAAAAAGAGGAATTATTGATTTGTGGAAGAGACAAATGAAACGAAGTCGTTAACCCCATTTCTTTTTTCCGTCTCGTTTGGTACGAGGGATAAGATATAACTAATTTCGAAATTAATTTTAAAGTTTATTTTATATTTGATTACGATAAAATTGTCAGATAACTTATAATGTTATTTTTATTCCACGTTAAGAATGAAATAACAATCATGCATAATTATACATAAATATGTTTTTAAACTTGGTTTCAACTGGCATTACATCTTCCAATTTTGAGTGTGCACAAGTAGACACTTAACTTGTATAAATCAGAAAAAATAGCTAGCCACATTCATTCTACGTGAAGTCCTACATGACAATTTCATGTCATATGTGACGTTCTACATGTATTATGTTACGTAGGATGTATGTGTCTATTTATTCAACTTTATAAAAGTTTATATCGTGTAAGACTTGTTTAATAGGATAGTGTTCTCATTTAGTTTGTCAAGGTCGAGGATACTTTTTTTTTTACTACATAGGGGTTGTAAGGAAGGGAGAAAGGAGGAGGGGATTATGAGTTGTGGAATCGAACCATCACCAACGACTAACAAGTTGAAATTTTAGATAACTAATCAATCAATCGAACTACTAAGATTTCTGAGAAGAACGCTTTGGTTTTACTAATCTTTGTGTTAAAAAAATCTACTTGCAAGTTGGAAGGGGAAAATCATTTTCCAAAGATAGCACATATAATTACAAAATTACAAAAAGAAAGGATGAGATGTATATATAGAGTGAGTACTAAGTCTTAGCAAATAAAGGCAACCCATTACACTTACATTGAAGTAACATTTGAACTAAAAGAATGGTTAAACTATTAATGTTTTCAAGCTTTATAACTCACTCTTTAACTCTAATTAAGTTTCTAAAAAGTATTTTTGGGTGTTTAATATTACATTTACAATATGGATCATATATTATTTGTAGAAGCAAAAAAAAACACTTCATAGAGGAGGATGGAGACTTAATTTTCATGAAATATTTTAAGATGGATAAGAAAAAAAAAAAAAGTTGAGATCATAAGTTAATAATCTGTATTATTACCATTATGGATTGCGATAGGACGGATAAGATTCTTTACCCTTAACTCTAGGTTTCGAGTTTGAATACTGAGAATTAAAAAAAATCCTGATAGAAAACACTTTCAAAACGGATATCATACACTAAGCGGGAAAAAAAAACTCTCTATTAGTGTAATACGATCCTTTTGTGCCTTGATAGTTTGATATAGAATACTCATAACTTTTTACTTCAACATCGAATTGACAAACAATTTAATTCGTTGGAAACTAGACTTAAAAGACCGTTAATATAACAATGTAATGCAAAACCTTCTCAAATGTGAACATTTTTCACTAAAAATCTTGAGCTTCTGGAAAGTCTACACTTCTTCAACACTTCAATGCTCAAACTTTCTATTGTCAACAAGTAATATTTTACAATCCACAAACCATTTTCATATCAAATTTGCTTCAATTATAAGTCTAAAAAGTTGCCTCATTATGAGATTCACATTCTACCAACTTCACCTTTTATTAACATTCTTAATTAAATTTTCCATCACTTCAAAATCCAATCTTTATATATTCCAATCATCTTCTCACATATTTACAATCCATAGCCACTTTTAATTTATTTAGTTTTTCCAAAAAAATGTCTAAGCAAAGTGTGAGGAAACATCATGCATTAGAGAAACATAGGGAAAAAGAAAAAACAAGAAGCAATAATATTAGTAGTAATTTCTTATTATCCAAACATTGGAAAAAAATTTACCCTATAGGGTTACATAAAACAAGTTCTTCTCTTTCACTTTCTTCACTTTCTTTATCTTTATCACAAACTTCAAATGATTCTTCTATTACTGATTCTTCTTCAATCACTCCATTGGATCAAAAAATCTCTCTAGCACTACGATTAATCGCGTCATCAAGGGAGAAAAAAGAGGGCTCGAGCATGTCCAATAAGAACGTGGCTCGAACGGTTATAAGTCCAACTTGTAACCCTAATCCAAACCCTAGTAGTGAAGAAGAACTCATGAGAAGGTGCAATTGGATTACTAGTACTAGTGGTAAGTTTCATAAGTAGCATTTATCTATATTTTATTTACTTTTCTTGAAATATTCCTAATATTTAAAAATGTCTTATAGTAGTTTCAGATTTTCATTTTATATTATGGCGTTTGATTTATTTTTTTCTTGATGTTTGATTGTGGATAGAACTTAAAGAGATGTTATTTTGACTTTATTATATATTAGGAGCATAATATAAGATTATTATGCTATTAAGTTAAATTGACCTATTGATAACATAATCATTATTCATTAATAAAGTTAGGAATTTTGATAGTCAAATTTGAGATTTAATATATTTGTATAACGAGTGATGTTTGACCTATACATATACACAATATAGTTTTGCGACCACGAGGGTGATCAGGGCACACATAATTCTGTCACTGCATGTAACTCTTTATAGCAAGTCTGATATGATAATCTGAAAAATAAAGTAATAACTTCCTAAACTTTCTAGTATTGTGTTGTTTATAGTATTTGGAAGTAGAATTATTTGAATTATTGATAAATTGACACTTAATTTGTACCAAATTATCCTAACATTAATGCCAATTGTAAGATTAATTTTTTTGAATTTGCTATATGCAGATAAGGTTTATGTGCAATTCCATGATGAATGTTGGGGAGTTCCTGTTTATGATGACCAGTAAGTAATAATTTATGATTAATTTTGGAGGCCATTTAATAATACATAAAAGTTTATTAACAAATTAATTAATTAATTAAACAGTCAATTATTCGAGCTTCTTGCATTATGTGGAATGCTTATGGATTTCAATTGGACTGAAATTTTAAAGAGAAGGGAACAAATAAGGTACAAAAATTCTCCCCCTTTCAATTTATATAATTGATAGTCTAATGGATTCAGAATTTAAATTTTATGCGCTCGAAAATGTAGCATTTTGAGTTATTGGATCTAAACTAATACTAATATATACATTGTTAGTGAATTTCGTAAGACAACACTACATGTAGTTTAAAATTACTAGATATCACGAATTTGTAGTCGAAATTGTACATCCATCCTAGATTATCAGTATGATTTAACTTGTTTTAGCAAGTTATCTATCTTATTTTTTTATTATTGATTCCACTCATTACTAACAATTATCCGTAGTTTATTTTTGAATGATCTGATAGTATAAAAAATATTTTTTAATGTGTGAATATGTAGAGAAGCATTTGGTGGATTTAATGCAAACCATGTGGCCAAAATGGGGGAGAGTGAGATTGAAGAATTAATCTCAAATACATCACTCAATTTAGCAGAAAGCAGAGTTAGATGCATATTTGACAATGCCAAATGCATAGTCAAGGCAAGTTCCAACTCCTTTATTATATATATTCAAAAATTCACAATATAGTCATTGTCATGGAGTTTCAGATTCAACATGTGAAAAAGTCTATGACATGAAAGTGACTATTTTTTCAATTACAAGACCGAAAAGTACTAGTTCATGCTATTACTATGATATCAATTAGTTGTTAACTGAATTAATTATCATTTTTTTCTCTCATTAATCAATTAACATATGCAGATTGTGAGAGAATATGGATCATTTAGCAGCTACATGTGGAATTATGTGAATTATAAACCTATAATTAACAGATTTAGACATCCAAGAAATGTTCCATTAAGAACACCAAAAGCAGAAACAATTAGCAAAGATTTATTGAAGAAAGGATTTAGATTTGTTGGGCCAGTAATTGTTTATTCATTCATGCAAGCTGCTGGAATGACAATTGATCATTTGGTTGATTGTATTAGGCATAAAGATTGTGTTAATCTTGCTGAAAGACCATGGAGGCATGTATGAGTTTAATTTATTTTAATTATGTATGTTTTTTTTTCCTTTGGTTTATTTAAGTTGTTTTTGGCAATTGGTTTTGCTTATAACAACAAATTCAATGTAATCTCACCAGTTGAATAATCTAGAAAGAGTGGTGTGTGCGCAGTCTTATTTCTACCTTGTGAATGTAGAAATGTTGTTTTTAGCACTGGTTTTGTTTATAACAATATATTCTGTGTAATCTTACAAGTGGAGTATGAAGAGAGTGGTGTGTACGCAGTCTTGTTTTTGCCACTGGTTTTGCTTAAAACAATATAATCAGTTACGAGTGGAGTTTAGAGAGTGGTGTGTACGCAGTCTTGTTTCTGTCTTGTGAATGTAGAGAGGTTGTTTCTGCCACTGGCTTTGCTTGTATGTATCAATTATGAGTTGAATGGTGTATTTATTTCCATGTTTATTTTTAATTAATTATAATTGTACAATGTTTTTTCTTATTACTTGTGAAGATTTATGGTATGTGCTTATAAAGTATATGCATGTTGTGTGTGTTGTATTTTTATATATATACACTAGGAAATACCAATTTGGTAAAGCTAATACTTATACCTTGTTTGATCAAGCTTAGTTTTTGTATTTTTAAAAAAAATAAATTTAAAAAGTTATTTTAGAGAGTTAATAGTCCATTAAAATGATGGGGTTGATATTGTGCATATAGCTGTGGTCCACTGGGCTTAGCCACTTTAATGGGCTTTTATATGGGCCTTACAAAACAAGAGGAAATTGGTACAATTGTATACATACATTATACATATTTTGCTTCTTTTTTTTTTCCAATTTATTTTGCTAATTGAGGAATAAGATAATGAGATTGAAAATAATAATTTTGGAAAGGAAACTGGTCAATATTCCACTATCCACAATACTTTTTCAGTTTACCTCTACCTCTCTTCGTACCCGTCATAGTCAATCTTTCACACCTTCTCACTGGTCAGAATATTTGTGCATCTTTTCTTCACATGCCTGAACTATTCAATTTCTCCTCCCTCATCTTATCCACCACGAAGGTCACTCTCATTTTGTCATGAATATCTTCGTTTTTAATCATATCCCTTCTGATATACCCACACTTCCATCTTAACCTCATTTCCACTATTTTTATCTTTTGAGTATGTGTGAGTCTTGACCGACCAATACTCAATTTATATAATCTGATAATTATTTTACAAAACTAACGTCTTAAGTCTGAATGACACATTCTTTTTAACACTATTCAAATGGAGTATCCATAAAAAAAATGTTTTTTTTGACCGACAAGAATTTGTACTTGACCCCAAAACAAAAATAAGCAACATTTTAAATTGTGTGTGATGATAGAGTAAATACAATAGAAGAAAATAAAAGTTTTTTGGAATTTTTAATAGGTCCAAAGGTCCTATTAGTAGTTCAGTCGATGCTATCAATGTCCTAATTAATTACATTAATTAAGAAGAATTTTATAGTTCAAGACATGACACAAATGATATAATTTTCAAGATAAGCAAGCTTTAGCAAGAATAATATCACCCTAATTTAGTCATGTTCTTGAGAACAACCTTTATTTAATGAAGCAAGTAGACAACCTGGACCCCCCACCCTACCCCCATGCCACCCCACCCTACCCCCACACACCATGTTCTTGTGTTTTCAACTATACGCACCCATATATACAATAATAATTATTACGTCTTAATCTCAAACATGTATATCTATGGACGTAAGTGGTTCGAGCCAATTGTGGCCGGCGCCATACGTATGGAGTAGTTGGAAGTTTTATATAAGTACGTAATTACTATGTTTGCATACATTACTCTAAATTATTGAGTTACAACAAATTTTCACATTTGTGTTTAAAAGTCTTATTATACTAGTTAATTTTCACATTTGTGCATAAAACATTCGTTATACTAGTTAATTTTCATTTGGAATCAATTATATTCATATTATGTTATATTAGATTTGCCTCTGTAATATTATTTTCCGATATCAGTTAAAAAGATATTCTGACAAATAATATTCATATAGAAAGATTTAACTATCGTTTTCCAAATTAAGTAAATATATATTCTCTCCGTCTCATTTTAATTGTCCACATTACATAATAATTAGTTATCCTGAATTACTTGTCATCGAAAGTAGGAATAATGACATCGAAAGTATATACAAATGTCAACATGTAACACCCACAAAGCTTCTCCCCCCTCCCCCAACCCTACCAACCCCAAACAACAGGTTATATAGTAGTACAAATCAAGCCCAATCAGAGATGAGGCTACCACGTTTGCTCTCATCCAATTTCATTTTATTTTATTTTAAAATAATTTCCTGGTCAACATTGAGCTGCCAACCAACGTGGTGCAGCGATATAAGGTTTCGGGTTCGAGCCTGGGTATGATGAAAATCGTGTTAGGAGTGTTACCCTAGATTGAACCTTGCGATGCGCGATTAAAATTTAGTTAAAACTCCAATGTAGGTTCCAAACACCGATTGGACGAGCCAAAATAAATCTTGTATGTTTATGTATACATTTTATTTTCCAATAATTATACACTTCACGCATAAAAACCGTTTCTTGATTGCTAAAAAAGAATGACCATTTTGACGCAGACATCCACCAAACTTTCAACCTTATCACTTTTTCTTCATCTTGCTTTGTTTTAAACGTTCCAATTCTTCTCATTCTGTTAACAACAACAAAGATTGACATATCACCAAACTAGCAACTTTACACGACTAATTCCATGAGATACATGTTACCTCCGACCAACACAACTTTGTCGACCACACGGTTTGGACTAATCGAGACCATACTTTGGGACCTCCACCCTAGTGATGTGCAATTGACAAGCAAATATCATTAGGGTCCACTTTGATGTTTATGTACTGGAAATTGGATCAAACAAACATGAATTTTCTTGACCACAAACATATTCTACAACTGTGATGTTCTAGTGTGTGAACTCCTCAGTACACTGAAGGGTCAACTGGTCCACAAAAGGGACCTACTACACTGCACTTTTACTCGATTCTTCCCACTTTTAGGGCTATTCGAGGAAAGACACAATAACAACTCATGTCTTGCACAATGAACACTAAATAACAATGTATACAATAACTGGTAAAAAGGACAATCAATATCTTTTAACTTGCACAAAACATATGAGAAGAAACAAGAACACACATCGAACATTTACACAAACTTTTTTGTTTTATTTTTTCGGATTACATTCTACATATTATTTATCTAACAGTCGCCGTGACAAAGTGAAAAGGAAAAAAAATGAAGACATCAAACAGAAAAAAAGACACCAATTCTACTCGGCACTTCCACTCAGGTGCCTCAAAAATATTTACAGCATCTCCTATTAAAGCTACTGCCGCCCTATAACTTCTTCTTCAAGGGAGCACATAACCACTTAACCAACCTAAGCTAGATATCCTTCACTTCCACCACCAGACTGCGCGGAGTTATTTAGGCATTAACTCATACTAGTAGTGAGATGTCATGGTAGTACCACACCTTGTGATATCTCAAAACTGGCAAGAAGTACCAAGCCTTTGTATCTGCCTCTGACCAAGGGCGACTGACTTGCGCTTGGCAAAAGCTGGGTATAGCAGTTCCTGGAACTTCTCTAGAAACAGACGCCATTCCTCTTCACCCATATCTGCTAGCTTCACAAAGCTGGAACTCACAGGAAGCTGTTCATTCGCACTCCTGTGGCCAGATGAAGAGTTGGCGAGATAGGCATTTTCTGGTTTAGTTCCAGAAAAATAAGGATGCTTCTGATTCTTGTCACCTAAACTAATATTCTTGAGGGACATTGATAGTTTTGACTCTGCTACATTCTTTGCGGGGGCTGGAACATAGTTAAAGTTTGTATCTTCTTCCTCTTCACTTTCTTCTTCCTCGATGCTTACATCTAGCTTAAAGAGTTGAGTGCGGCCATTTCCTCCTCCAAATGGAAACTGAAACGGGTTCCTGCTCACAAAGTCCTCAGAGGCCATTTTTGGACTAAAACCATATCCTGCGTCCTCATAATCTATGTCAAATTGGAACTCCTCCTCATCAACTTCAGCCTTAGGAGACAAAATCCCTCTCTCAGCAATCAACTGTCTGGCCTCCAAACAAACTACTTCAAGCTCACTCGGTTCTTCTTCCCCACGACGAAATTCCCTGCTCATCATCTCACCAATCTCTGCAAGGCAAAGCCCATAAGCAGCAGCTTCCTTGAGGAAAATGGTGGACAGGACCAAGACACGAAGGCAGGCTTCGCGAATCATAGGGAGCTCACTTTTCAGCATATCAGAGTCACGAACAGGATCAAGCTTCTCTATGTACTTGAGTTCATCATCTGAAAACGGAATGGATGCCTGAGGCCAATGAATCCACTCAAAATACGGATCTTCCAACGTTTCTGGTAGACAGAGGCCATGATCAATGGGAATTAACTCTACTTGACCAAACATCCCAACACCATCAAGCTTCCTAACTAAAAGATTTCCTGCATGTCTGTCTGTGTTAAATATCCTGATGTCTAATATCCCAATCCGGTGAACAGCAGCAACAGGGAAGCTTGATGTTCCATGGTCACTGGCATCAAAATCATGCGGGATGAACTGCTGCAAAGATGCAATCTTGCTGACAAGTTTCTTCTTGCTAAAAGGCTTATCTCCATTAACACCATCATTGATATTAAAAATAGAATGAGTGATTTTCACCAATGCAGTGGCTGGCACATTGGCAAAATGATCATAATCGAGAAGATATGCAGCAACCTCCCGAAACCCTGTTTCTCCAACCCTAACTGAACGTTTTAAGCCTGGCTGTCCAAGAGCTTTGCCAACAAAACCTTTAGGATTATTTGGTGCAAACGGCTCTTCGTCTGTTGGCTTGACAATAGCAACACTCTCACCTCTGCTGTTTCTAAAATAGTATGCGCCCCCAAGTCCACTATGGACTGGAAGTGGATCAACTCCAATCTTGACAGCCTTCACAATCTCCTTGACAAGTTGTTTTGT